AAAAAATCAGCCGGGGCGTGGTAGCGCATGCTGCAATTCCGGCTACTTGGAAGGCTGAGGCGGAAGGATCGCCGGAGCCCAGCAGGTTGAGGCTGCGGTGGCTGGGAGCGGCCACTGCACTCTAGTCTGGGCGACAGAGTGAGACTCCAACTTAAAAAAAAAAAAAGGAAAATGTATAGATTTATAAAACAAATACCCTGAATGTATTGCAAATTGAAAAGTATCATAAAACTGAAATAAAAATGACTTGAATTGAACCCAAATATGTAGAGAGAAGTATATCTTTAACTATATTATACATTCAGGCAATTTTCTTCTTAAAATTTATACCTGACTACGGTGTTCAACAGAATTTGACTCTTTGCCAGTTTTAAGTTCCAGTGGCATTATCTTGTATTTTGTTTTACACCCTCGGTGTATCTTCACACCAACAGTAACATCTATTTTGCCTTTCAATCCAAACCTAGGGGACCAAATGCTTTCTTCAATATCCAATGAGTTTACCACTTCAATGTTACATGTTGAATTAGTCTTATTATCATCACTTGGCCTAGAAAAAAGACAAAACAGGAAAACAATTAGAATACTCAGCTCATTTTGCATGTGCTAGCTCTGACTCTGCTATACATAGAGAATGTAGGGATGGGACACAGTCCACATTCCTCTTTAACAGTGATTCTCAGGCTGAGGGGGAAGGATCACCAGAGCCCAGCGGGTCGAGGCTGTGGTGGTCAGCAGCATACCACTGCACTCCAGTCTGGGCAACAGAGTGAGACTTCAACTAAAAATAACCCAAAAAACAAATCAAAAAAAAAAAAACAGTGATTCTCAAAGTGTGGTTTTTGACCAGTAGCATCAGTAACACCTGGGAACTTGTTAAATATATATATATATTTTCTTGAGTTGAAATCTCACTCTGTCGCCCAGGTTGGAGGGCTGTGGCACGCTCATGACCACCACAGCCTCAACCTGCTGGGTTCAGGTGATCCTTCTGCTTCAGCCTTCCAAGTAGCTGGAACCACAGGTACACGCCACTACGCCCGGCTAATTTTTTGATTTATTGTAGAGACGAGGTCTTGCCATGTTGTCCAGGCTGGTCTGGAACCCATGGGTTCAGGCGATCCTCTCACCTCGGCTCCCAAAATGTCAGGCAAGAACAAATATGCCCGGCCAGGAACTTACTAAAATGTACATTTTCAGGCCTCACTCTAGACCTCCTCAAACAAACTCTAGGGGTAAGGCCTAGCAATCCATTTAACAAACTCTCCATGATTCTGAGGTACACATAAGTTCATGTCACTATTTTACAGGTTCTGAATTTAATCTTTCTTTCTTTTTTTTTGACTTGGAGTCTCACTCTGTCGCCCAGACTGGAGTGCAGTGGCCGCTCCTGGCCACCGCAGCCTCGACCTGTTGGGCTCCAGCGATCCTTCCACCTCAGCCTTCCAAGTAGCTGGAACTACAGGCTCACACCCAGCTAATTTTTTATTTTATTGTAGGGATGAGGTCTCCCAAGTTGCCCAGGCGGGTCTTGAACCTGCAGGCTCAGGCAATCCACTCACCTCAGTAATCTTTCTTAATATTTAACATCTGTCCCTTACACCCCATTCCAACTAGAATCTTCTTTTCTTTTGGAGTTGGAGTCTCACTCTGTCACCCAGGCTGGAATGCAATGGCACACTCACTGCCACTGCATCCTCAACCTGTGGGGCTCAAGCAATTCTTCCGCCTCAGTCTTCCAAGTAGCTGGAACTACAGATGCACACCACCATGCCCAGCTAATTTTTGTGATTTATTGTAAAGATGAGGTCTCATCAAGTTGCCCAGGCTGGTCTCAAACCCCGGGGCTCAGGCAATCCTCTTACCTTGGTCTCCCAAAGTGCTGGGATTACAAGCTGAGCCACCACACCCGGCCTAAAATCTTTTTAACTCAGGCCTTCATTTCTTCAGGCATAGATTATTGTAACAGTCTCACTATTTGAACAGCTATAGATACAATTCCAATCTCAGGATTTTGATGCAGACTTATTACAAATTAATATGCAATGGCTTGCATGTGGTTGCACCCTAAGTCACACAGGATGTATTCCTTCATGTAACTTCATATTAAACTGGGGAAGAATGAGCTGTCTATCTCTGCCATCTATGAAGTGTGGGCTTGTTCATCCAACACTTCATCCACACACCCCCATGTGACAATCTTTAAGGAATTCACAGTCACTCCTATATCTCCCCATTATTTTCTTTACTTAATCATTAAATGAATTTATCTCTGCCACTATCAATATTTAAAATAAGTACTTGCCGGGCTCGGTGGCTCACCCTGTAATCCGCGCCTTGGGAGGCTGAGGTGAGTGGACTGTCTGAGCCCACGCGTTCGAGACCCGCCTGGGCAACTTGGCAAAACCTCATCTCTACAATAAATCAAAAAAATCAGCCAGGTGTGGTAGTGCACGCCTGTAGTTCCAGCTACTTGGAAGGCTGAGGCAGAAGGATCGCTGGAGACCAGCAGGTCGAGGCTGCAGTGGCCGGGAGCAGCCACTGCACTCCAGTCTGGGTGACAGAGTGAGACTCCAACTCAAAAAAAAAAAATAAGTACTCAACATTGTTCTTTATGTTATAAAAGATATTCCAACTTTAATATCTTAACTGTTAAATAAGAATTGAATATCGTAAAAAAGAAAAAAAGGAATACGTAATTGATGAAGGAATTAGAAGAGATGGAAATAACTTTTAAAACCAATTATATCCTTCTTATCTGAGATTTACTAATTTTCAGAGCAGTTGCAGTTGCTCTGCAGAAAGGATTAGAAGAAAAGTCAGATAAGGGCTACAGCTTACTTATTAATCCTCTCCACTGGAAAGATATTTTAAACTTTTAGATGCAAAGTCATATAAAATATTAAACCTAAAGGGAATCTTACATTAAAAGGAAACTCTCTAGTGTTAAGACATATTTCATATCATCAAAATCAAGATTTGTTAAAGTATAATAATTCTAATTATTAGGATACATGATTTAGTTGGTTTAGTTTGCTAGTTTCATGATTACAGTCAGCAACTATTCCTTTTTTTTAGCAGTTATTTCTTAACAAATTAGAATATTTTCTAATTCTAAAACACTGTCTTCAGTAATTTTTCTTTAAAAAACTGTTGCAAGATGCTTAATATAATCTCCAGAAATATACTGAATCTTGAAACTCAGGGATGCCAAAATTTATATAAAATGTGTTAAATGTTAATATGTTCTCTTTCACCAAATGTTATCTGATTTATGTATTCAAATATACTTTTATTAAACAAAGCAAAATTTATTTATTTATTTTTTGAGTTGGAATCTTACTCTGTCGCCCATACTGGAGACTGGAGTGCAGTGGCACGCTCCCAGCCACCGCAGCTCACCCTGCTGGGCTCTGGCAATCCTTCCACCTCAGCCTTCCAAGTAGCCAGAACTACAAGCGTGTACTACCACACCCAGCTAATTTTTTATTTATTGTAGAGACGAGGTTTTGCCAAGTTGCCTGGGCAGGTCTTGAACCCACAGGCTCAGGCAATCCACTCGCCTCAGCTTCCCAAAGTGCTGGGATTACAGGCTGAGCCACCGAGCCTGGCCAGCAAAATTTATTATTTATAAAATGTCACATGTATTCCTAAGACAGGTAAAAAAAACTCTAAAAGTTGTTACAGAAATTCAGTCCCCTAGAAAAAGAAGCAATGTGACTTTAAATCTAGATCCGTGCAGCAAATGACAGTAAGTTGTTTCTCCATGTCCTTAAGGGAATTAGTTCCAAGAATTCCAGTAGATACCAACATCCAGCATATTGAAGTCCCACAGTGGGTTTCGCATCCCACAGAAACTATGTTTTCCATCCAAGTTTAGTTGCAGATTCAGAATCTGCTGATATAGATGGAGGGCCAACTGTATTTATTGAAAAAAAAATCTGCGTATAAGTGGACCCAGTTCAAACCCATGTTTTTCAAGGGTCAACTGTTTTCAATTTAACTACTATGGTTTTAATCAACATAATGCTGTACAAGTCCTTTAAGAACCACCTGATGGAGAATATATTGTTGTGAGGCCGGAAGAAAAAATGTGCATTTACTTACTACTTGTGGGTGGAAAACATTGTGACTTTAAATTATTTATTTATTTATTTTTTTTTTTTTGAGTTGGAATCTCACTCTGGCACCCAGGTTGGAGAGGAGTGGCACACTCACAGTCACTCCAGTGCCAACCTGCTGGGCTCCAGCGATCTTTCTGCCTTAGCTTTCCAAGTAGTCAGAATTACAGGCACACACTACCATGCCCAGCTAATTTTTTATTTATTGTAGAGACAAGTTCTCACCAAGTTGCCAGACTGGTTTAAATGGTTTGTAAAGGTCTCATTCTTTGCCCTGAAGTCTAGCATTCTAGAAGTAATCTTTCAAAGTAACCAGTTATAGGCCATTGCTTTGCTAAACTCTAGTCTGGCCACGTGGCTCTTTGAGCAATCGTCACCATGTTTCCTAGTTTTGGCCCCTTTCCCTACCTTGGGGAGGTGAGTCTTCTCTCTATTCTAATTTACTATCTAAATAAACTATATTTTCCAATCTAAATAATAATAATAACCAATTATAAACTGCTGGGAAATGATGCAAGCTAAAGTACAGCGGAGTGCCTCCTTCACAAACAAAAGCACATGAAGTCCCATCAAAAACAATGGAAACAAAGAAAAGTCAAGTCCTATAATGAAATACAGAAATGGGAACATGGGGCTAGGAATCAGGAGATTCCTTAGACTAGACTCAGCTCCATCACTGACTCTTCATACGAAACCTGGGCAAGTCATATCACCTCACTAGATCTCAATTTCCTTATTAAAAAAATCTAAGACTAAAAACTCTTAAGAATAAAACTAACAAAGGAAGTGAAAGACTAGTACACTAAAAACTATAAAACTGCTGGAAAAAACCGGGCTCGGGGGCTCAGCCTGTAATCCCGCGTTTTGGGAGGCTGAGGTGAGTGGATTGCCTGAGCCGGCGGGTTCGAGACCCGCCTGGGCAACTTGGCGAGACCTCCTCTCTACAATAAATCAAAAATTAGCCAGGCATGATAGCACACACCTGTAGTTACAGCTACTTGGAAGGCTGAGGCAGAGGGATCGCCAGAGCCCAGCAGGTCGAGGCTGCGATGGCTGGGAGCGGCCACCGCACTCCAGTCTGGGTGAAAGAATGAGACTCCAACTCAAAAAATAAATAAATAAATAAATAAATAAAATAAAACTACTGGAAAAAAATTAAAGACACAAATAAATTAAAAGATATCCTGTGTTCATGGGGTAGAAGACTTATTATTGCTAAGATGAAAATCTCACAAATCTATCAAAGCAATCTACAGATTCAACACAATCCCTATCAAAATCCCAATGGCATTTTTTGCACAAATAAAAAAAATTCATCTTAAAATTCATTTGGAATCTCAAGGGACTCCAAAAAGCCAAAATAATCTTGAAAAAGAACAATGGAGAACTTACACTTCCTGATTTCAAGATATATTACCAAGCTACAGAAAGCAAAAGAATGTGATACTGCTATAAAGACAGAAAAATACATGAATGAAGTAAAATAGACAATCTAGAAATAAATGTCCAGATATATGATCAAACAATCTTCAACAATGATGCCAAGACCACTCAATGGAGAAAGAAAAATCAACAAATGCTATTAGAAAAACTGAAGATCAGCTGGGTTCGGTGGCTCAGCCTGTAATCCCAGCACTTTGGGAGACTGAGGTAAGTGGACTGCCTGAGCCCGCAGGTTCGAGACCAGCCCAGGCGACTTGGTGAGACTTCATATCCACAAAAAAATAAACTATTAGCTGGGCGTGGTAGCGTGCGCCTGTAGTTCCAGCTACTTGGAAGACTGAGGTGGAAGGATCACGGGAGCCCAGCAGGTCTACCAGGTGGCCATGAATCTGCCACTGCACTCCAGCCTAGGCAACAGAGTGAGACTCCAACTTAAAAAAATAAAAACTGAAGATCCATATGCAAGAGAATAAAGATGGACCTTTATCATACACCATATACAAAAATCAGCTCAAAATGGACTAGAGCTAACTATAAGACCTAAAATCATAAAACTACTCGAAAAAAACACAGAGGATAAGTTTCAACAACACTGGACTTGAGAACAATTTCTTATGTTCTCAATATGACACCAAAAGCACAGGTAATAAAAGTAAAAATAGACAAATAGAATGACATCAAAATTTAAAATATGGCCAGGTGTGATGGTTCACACCTGTAATCCCAGCACTTTGGGAGGCAGAGGAAGAAGAATTGCTTGAGGTCAGGAATTCAAAACCACCCTGAGCAACAAGTGAGACTCCATCTCTACAAAAACAAAATTTTTTTTTGAGTTGGGGGTCTCACTCTGTCACCTAGGCTGGAGTGCAGAGGCACAATCACAGTCTACCACAGCCTCAAACTCCTGGGCTAAGGTGATCCTTCCATCTCAGTCTCCCAGGTATCTAGGTCTGCAGGCTAATTTTTTTTATTTGAGCTCAAGTAATCCTCCCACCTTGGCCTCCCAAAGTGCTGGAAATACAGGCATAAGCCACTATACCCAGTCTTCTGAAAAAAGGTTTTAAAAATTAGCCAGGGGTGGTAGTGTCTCCTATAGTCCTAACTACTAGGGAGTCTGAGGCAGGAGGATTGCTTGAGTCCAGGAGTTCAAGGCTACAGTGACCTTGACTGGGTCACTACACTCCAGCCCGGGTGACAGAGCAAGACCTTGTCTCTAAAAAAAAAAAAAAAAGAAAAGAAAAGAAAAGAAAAAAAATTTTAAACTTTTTTACATCAAAGGAAACAATCAACAGAGTTAAAAGGAAACCTACAGAAAAAAGTATTTGCAGCCAGGCATGATGGCTCAAGCCTATAATCCCAGCACTTTAGGAGGTTGAAACTAGAAGATTGCCTGAGTTCAGGGGTTCAACACCAGCCTGGGCAACGTGGTGAGACCTCGTCTCTACAACAAATCAAGAAAAATTAGCCAGGTATGGTGGCACATGCATGTAGTTTCAGCCACTTGGAAGGTTGAGGTGGCAGGATCACCTAAACCCAGCAGGTTGGGGCCTGTACTCCAGCCTGGGCAACAGAGTGAGACTCCAACTCAAAAAAAAAAAAAAAAAAATTTGCAAATCATATAGCTGATAAGGGGTTAATATCCAGAATATATAAAGAACTCTTACAACTCAACAACCCAAAATTCACATAATACAATTTTAAAATGTGCAAAAGACTACATAGACATGTCTCCAAAAATCATATACAAATAACCAACAAGCATAAGAAATCATTAATCATTAGGGAAATCATTAGAGAAATGCAAATTTTTTAAAAATCACATTAGGATGGCTACTATCAAAAAAAGTAAGAGGTTTTGTATTTTTGGTGGTGGTGCTGTTATTGTTTTGCTATCGTAATCCAAGCACCAAGAATATTACTTGGCACATATTAGACACCCAATAAATATTTGCTGAATGGGTGAATAACAAAAAAGAAAAAAGTATTACCTATAAAATTATATCAACACCACTTAAAGAATAAAAACTTGAAAACATAGCAAATGCCAAATAGCATTAAATGGCTAACCATAGTATAAACATATAGCACAAATCTATACAACAATCAACACATGACACAGTCTATATAACAATACAGAACTATATATGGAAAGTAAAAATGAAAAAAGTTAGGCCAAAATATTTATAAATTGATTATTTTATTTAAAAAAATACATATAAAAATCAATATCTTATTATAATAAAAATAAAATTTTCTATTCATTAGGTTCTTTTTGTCATGTAAAGATAATCAAGATCATAATTTATAAAATAAGCAAAGAAAAAAGGCTAATAGTAATAGCCCAATCTTTAAAAAGTTTTGCTTCAACATACAGAATAGAATCCTGACCAAAATATATGAACATTATATAAACAAAAATTGTTTCTTACAAAGAGAGCTGCACTTGAGGGAAGTCAGCTGAAGAATTTTTATGCATGAAATCTCCTGCCCATTTAGAAAATGAAGGAAGATACTCCTCTACTTCTTGTTTTATTTCATCTTGATTCAGATTTAAGCGATACCTGCCAATATAAGAGATATTAAACATGAAAGAATAAATATGAGAAAAGTGAATAAAGACAAAAATATGCAAATAAACAACCCAAGGATCTACTGGCCAATAAATGGATAAATAAAACATAGTATATCTACACAATACAATATTTTTCAGCATAAAAAGGAAATTCTGACACATGCTACAACAAGGATAATCATCAGGACACTGTGCTTAGTGAAATAAGCCACTAATAGAAAGACAAACACTGTATGATTCCATTTATATGAGGTACCTATAGTAGTCAAAATCACAGAGACAGAAAGTGAGTGGGTGTTGCCAAGGGCTGAGAGGAGGGAAGAATGGCGTTTTGTTGTTTAATGGGTTTAAAGCTCCAGTTGGGAAAGATGTAAAGAGTTCTGGAGGCCAGGAACAGTGCCTCACGCCTGTAATCCAAGCACTTTGGGAGGCGGAGGCAAGAGGAATGCCTGAGCTCAGGGGTTCAAGACCAGTCTGAGGAACATGGCAAGACCTCATCTCTACAATAAATCAAAAAACTAGCTGGGTGTGGTGACACATGTCTGTGATTCCAGCTACTTGAGCTCAGAAGATCGAGTCTGCGGTAGCTGTGAGCATGACATTGCACTCCAGTCTGGGTGACAGTGAGACTTACACCCAAAAAAAAAGAATGTAGTCACTATCACTGAACTGTACCTTTAAAAATGGTTGAGATGATCATTTTATATATATTTTACCACAATTTTTAAAAATCCACATAACAGTGGTATGACATCAAATTTCATCTATGTGCCCCAATTCATACCATGTCAGGTCTAATTGGAGGGGTCTAGTTACATCTTTGAGATAAAAAAGAAACTGGTGGCAACCAAGCAATGGAAACTAGAAATGCAAAAGAGGAAAGAAGAGCATATGGACAGAAAGATGATACCAGTCTCAGTACATCAAAGGACAGGTTACAGAAACATCAACTCCTCACGCCTCCCAAACTGCTGGGATTACAGGCATGAGCCACCATGTCCAGCCAAGCCACCAAGACCAGCTTTAAATTTTAAATGAATTAATAAACAGTAATGAGCCGGGCTCGGTGGCTCAGCCTGTAATCCCACGCCTTTGGGAGGCTGAGTGGGTGGATTGCCTGAGCCCGCGAGTTCGAGACCCGCCTGGCAGCGAGACCTCATCTCTACATAATCAAAAAATCAGCTGG